CTTGAGTTGTGATTTTGCTAGTATAGTTAATTTAAAAGTGAAATTCATACTTTGATTTTCAATACATAGATAAAAAGTGATATTTGCTAATTGTTATACCCTAACCATATATCCTATACTTTACACCACATACCTTGTACCCTAACCACGTACCATAAACATAAATTAAAAAGGGATCTCCTGCCGTTAAAGACTTCAACTTCAAGTGAACATATGTTAATAAAAAACTTAGAACCGTCAAAACCATCAATATCTTGTACCCTAACCATATACACCCTAAACCATATGTACCTTATACGGTTATACCTTATACCCTAACCATATACTTTATATCCTAAACAACGAACCGTCAAAGATTACTTATCAAGTTTAGTATAAATTGTTGTAACTAATGGTTAATTTATTTATTAGCCCATAAAAAATTACATACATATATACATATTAGCCTTCAAAGCATATAAGGATAATTTTAACTAGTCATGCCCTCCATATAAAAGTTAAAGATTCATATTTCAAAAGCTAAAATTATGAAAAACCAAAAAATTGAAAACACCACATTTGTTTCCTTCATTCTTTTCACAAAAATACTAAAATTTCCCTCCTTCTTTCTCCTTACATACATTAGAAAAACTCAATTTTCCCTCCCCTTTCTCTTCCATAAAATTGAAAGAAACAAATTACCCTCTTCTTTCCTTCTACAAAAAGTTGAAAAGTCAAAAGTTTCCCTCCTTATTTCTCTTTCATAATCAAAAGAATCAAATTTTCCCACTTCTTTCTCTTCCCACATATCAAAACCACCAAAATTCCCACTTGTTTCTTTTCTAAAAAATTCAAAGAACCAAATTTCCCTCTTCTTTCTCTTCCCAAAAACTTGAATACACCAAAATTTCCCTCTTTTTTTAAAAACATCAAATTACCAAATACATTAGTTTACTTTATTTATATTTAATTGATAATTTTATTGAATAGTTAAATTATCCAAAATTTTAATTTATATATTATATTAATATTGTCATGATCTCAAGTGACCTTCATGTTTCAATTTTTCTAATTTTCTTAAAATACGTAATATCAAGTGAGTTTCATATTTTTAAAATTTCTTATACGAAATGACAAAATAATTTTACTTAAGTTTAGAATGAAAAACATTATTTTGAAAAACTATGTATTGTACATTTTTATAATTATTCAAGTGGATTAGATGAAATTCGGGTTGAGTCGGTCGGGTTACGGGTTAATCGGGTTCGGGTCAATCGGGTTCGGGTTAATCGGGTTGCGGGTCAGTCGGGTTGTGGGTCAATCGGGTTGCGGGTTAATCGGGTTGCGGGTTAGTCGGGTTGCGGGTTAGTTGGGTTGCGGGTCAATCGGGTTGCGGGTCGGGCGGGTTACGGGTTGTTGACTTTTAGTCAATTCGGGTTGCGGTCGGGTTGCGGGTCGGGTTGATCGGGCGGGTTAATCGAGTCGGGCTATGTTTTGACACCTATACGGGTACCCATGAACCCGCGGATACCCAGCGGGTTGGGTTGGGTTTGAGTTTTTCAAACCCAACGGATTTTACCCCGGGTTTTTTTGGCGGATAAACCCATGGGTTTGGGTTTGGGTTAGACAAAACCTGCCTCAACCCAACCCTTTGCCATCCCTACTTGTAGGCCCATATTGATAACACAAAAACGGTGTTATTTACCCTCCATCTTAGGGTATGTTTTGTGCCAATTCGTGTGCTTAAGTGTTTAAACATTGTCAAATACATCCTTATGTCATTCCTATTTGATTTTGATGTGATTATAGGGTGTATTGGTCGATATGTGCAAATTAGGTACAAAACAAGGTCACAAGTGTAGAAAAGGGACAAAGATGAAGGATCGTGGCCTAGAAGCCAAAGATCATGACTGGGATTTCCATTCTTGAAGACTCACTGAAGATCGCAGCCCAGAAGCCAAAGATCGGGACCACGATCTTGAAGGCCTAGGGCGCGAACTTCGCAAAGTAGAAGCCTTAGAGAAGCAGAGAGTTTCCCTAGTCGCATCACGGCCAACATTCAACTTGCCCGCGAGGAAGATCACGGTCACGACTCGAGGATCGTGACCGCGAAGTCAGCCCACGATCTTCCCCCTTTAGAAGGCCATGATGACGTCGTCTTGTGAGATCGCAACCTAACCTCAGAAGATCACCCCACGATCTCCCAGCCTCTAGCCACGAACTTCCCCGATTCTAGAATGCCTATAAATAGAAGACCCATTTCCCCATTTTAGGAGAGCTAATTTTGGGTGAAATTTCTGGATCTAGAGAGAGAAGAGAGAGAAGCTAAAGGGAGAAAAAGAGAAAGAGAAGAAGGAGGAGCTAGGAGCAAGGAGGATCTTCCCCAACTTCAAGTCTTCTTCTATTTCTACCAAGTATCTTCTTCTCTCCTTTATGGAGTAGTTCTCTAAGGTAGTAGGGGTTCTAAACCCCAAACACTAGTTTTAGGGTTTATTATGTATGTATGGATATTTTAGGGTTTGAATGAATGAATGTGTTTATCTAGTAGATTCTTAATGTCACTCTTTCCTAAATGATGATGCTTGGGCAATTGGCCCCTATCTTCCCTCTTACCCTACTTTATGATACCACGCTGGGTACAGAGTTCTAGGGTTAGACGGGTATGTGCCATCTGACAAGTTTAGGTTAGATGAGTGAATGTGGGCCTATAGTGGTCGAGGCGACTGAACCCCTGCTATAGGTAGCCTTCCTAGATGAAACCTGGGATGAAACCTCGGCGTGGATGGTGGATAGTGTCCATTGAAATGAGCCATAAGGTTAATTCCCCAGATATGATAGCCTAGATCGAGGTGATTGAAACATGGGTTTAGGGGAGGCATACTCGAAGGCGTTGGATAACGACGAAGGCCCACGGAAAAGAGCTCACTCACCACATTCGATAACCCTAAGTATCTATACATGCATAGTATCCCTAAGCTAGGGGGAAGATTAGTTCCCCGAAGTACCTGCATTTAGCTTTGATCCACCTCTAGACTAGTGTTTCCTCATATCCTCCACTCAAACCCTCAAAAACCAATTACCTAATTAACAACAAGGTGGGAAGTAGGCTAGGGTACTAGGACCCGAGTAGAATACGACTTTTATTACCACTATACATCAATGCCATCCTAGGTTAAACTTAGCTTAGGATGGGATAGTTGTTGATACGTGCAAACCACTGACAATAACATGCACGGATTCAAGTGATCAATCTTATTGGCGCCGTTCCCGGGGACCATTGGTAACTAGTAGAAAACCATTAAGTTGTTAGTTAGATTTTTTCTTGCTTTAGCTGTTTGTTTTGTGTTATTGGTTTATTTCGTTTTGATTTTGTTTTTGTGCTTTCGTTTCGTATTTTGTTTTCATATTTGCATATTTGTTTGTATTGTTATTTGCCACTTTTGTACGTCACGGGTTGTTGAGGTCGTGTTTTGTAGCATCATTGTATGCGAAGAAAGGATTTCTTAGAAGTATTATCTCTTGATTCCGAAATCGAGAGAACCCTTTGTAATCTAAGAAGAGTTACAAGACCTCAACCTCCACCAATGGAGGAACATCAAGCTCAAGTGCCATCGAGGCCAAGAACAATGGGTTCTTCCACTAGGCCAAGTGTGGACAATGTCCAATCACCTATTCTTCATCCGACATTACCCAAAAATGATTATGAGATCAAGCCGGACACAATATGGATGCTTCAAAGTGCGGTTCAATTCAATGGGATGACGAGTCAGGATGCACAAGCGCATGTCAAGTCATTTTATGAGTTGACGGATGGGATCAAAGTGAACATGGTTCCTCAAGAGACTTTCCGACTAAGGTTATTCCCATTTATCTTGAAGGGAGCGGCAAAGTAGTGGTTGAATAATCAACCACATCACTCAATTACCTCATGAGATGATCTATGCAACAAGTTCTTTGCAAGGTACATTCCACCTTCTAAGACGGCTTTGATGAGAAGTGAGATCACAATGTTCCGTCAAGAGGAGGATGAACCATTGTTTGAAGCATGAGAAAGATTTAAATCTCTCCTACTCAAGTGCCCTCACAATGGCATAGCTGATTGGCTACAAGTTCAAAGCTTCTATAATGGGTTAACAAAGGAATCACAGGCCACGTTGATGCGGCTAGTGGAGGTGTCATTCGGAATAAAGAAGTCGGAGAACTTCAACAATTAGTCGAAGAGATGGCCTTTAATAATAATAGCTATGATTGGATTGACGGAAGGAGAGGTAAGAACATGTCAAAGGGAAGTTTATTGAAGATTGAAGAACCATCGTGTCTATCGGCTCATATTCAAGAACTTTCCAAGAAAATCGATTAAGTTGCTTCACCTATGAAGGGCAACAGGAAGCAACTTATGAAGTGTGATTGGTGCGGTGACTCGAGTCATAATATGGAAGAGTGAAAGTCTATGATTGAAGCTTCTATAGAATTCGATCAAGCCAACTTTGTTGGAGGTCAATCTCGAGGTAACAACTCTTATATCTAGACGTACAATCCGGGGTGGAGGTTCACCCAAACTTTCTTTGGTCTTCTCCAACGAATAGGAAAACTCCGGGGTTTCAAGAACTGATACGCCCCTGGAGGGGTGTATGTTATCAAAGTCACGCAGCTAACGACTCAATCGAAGAATCGATTGAGCTCGAATCAAGAACGAAGCGTTCTTAATACGAACTTGGATAAAACGGAACCAAAAGGACAAATCCACGCCTGGGATAGCTCGATTGGTATAAGAGGGTAGTTGCTAGACCACGATTGAAGTGACTATTCAATCGATACACAAGCTCAACAAGTTTGGAATCCACCAAACCCAAAACAAGTCGCAACTTGCACAAAACCAAAGGTTTGTTTTTCGATTAATCAAAGTCTGAATTTTACAACGTAATTAGAAGGTATTTAAATGAAAATAAACCTAATACAATCCTAATAGAGCTAGGCAACAATTAAGGTAAAAGTCTACACTAAAAAGGACACAAAAATTCGGGTTTAAACTCCCTTTCTTGAAGCACAAGCAAGCTGCCAACAAACAGTCAAAAATCAGCTTTCGTAGTAACTTCGTGCCATTCGTTCGAAGCCTTCCCGAACTCCAATCCTTCATCCAATTCCTTCCCTTTGTACATAAACATACCTAGTTTCATGTTGTGGAAGCCTTTGGTCTTGAATCAGATCCATACTCCTCGAATCAAGCTCCAAAGTAGGCTTCACAAAACAGTTTCCAGACTTGACCATTTTCTGGCAGTTTTCCAGTTTTGAGGTAGCAACTTGAAGGCCTTGGAAAACAACCTTAATGACATCATCTGGATCCACAAAGCATACCATTGGAAATTTGGCAACTTTATCTGCGAAACAAACTATTAAAATAGAATTTCCACCAAGCCAATTGAGAGAACCATGCCTCCAAAGTATGTATCCTGAACACGGATTTTGACTTGGCCAAATACTGCCTTTCTTCTTCCCAACTTTGATAGCTTCTTTGGCAAGTAATTGTGACTCGTAGAAGTGGCCAATTTGGATCATATCAGGCTCTCCCTCTTCAAAAGGTGTTGCCCTCAACACTTTAGCGTGTTGTTGCTCAAACCATTCACAGAATTGATCCCAAATTGGATCGAAAGTAGGTTGTTCAATCATCATTTTCGACAGAAAATTTTCAGCTTCAAACTCACCTCCAAGCTTCTCCAGGGATTTTGAAACTTGCATAGCTGTTGGGCACTCCTTCTGGGCTCGAAACAAATCTCCCTCGATGAACAATTGCACTGGAAAGAGGCCGAAACTATTTTCAGGTCGCCGGACTTCATCTCCGTCGTTGAGCTCATTCGACTGAATTGGGGCTTTTCGTTTCGAGGATCCCCAGCGCAATTCATCCACTCCACGATCTTCCCCAGGCTTCCAATTGAAGCTTGGGTCAATTTTCCAGTCTCGAATCATCATCTTTGCCTTCGAATCCGCTCCTCTTCCATTCCCGCCGTCGGCCAATTTCAAACCCAGATTATCGATTTCGAATTTGGGGTTTTTCAATCCAAGCATGTTTGAGGCGAATTGATGCATCCTACACATTCCATGTATCCCCATGAATGATTCTGCATCCTTGATTTGGCTCAAATTGAGCTCAATTGCTCTACGTAAGAGAGGCTCGTCGTCGGCAGGGCTATTCACAAACAGAGGCCTTGCTGGACGAATTGATTCTTCAAAATCCGCTACAATCATGTCGAACGAATAAACTTGAGATGTTTCTGGGGTGGTAGTGACTATTTCTACACCGGCGGCGAAGTTCGACTCTTCGTCGGAGATTCCACCCAATTCCACCTTTTCTTCTTCGTGTGCGAGCTCCGCCAGGGGTGTTTTAGTTCGATCATCATCCTGCAAATTAGGGAACGTCGAAGTAATCCCCTTGATAGGAGAGCTTTTCCATGAATCATGGAACGATTTGGCATCAGTTTCTACGTTCGGATCATTCCCCAGGTTGCTACCCAATTGCCCCTCTCTCTTCCTCTGTTTTGCCGGGGCAGACTGGAACTCTGCGTGGCTCGTCACCAGGCCGATTCGTCCGTCGGCAGCCGGCTCCAGCGCTTCTCCTCGATTTTCAATCCTTCCCAACAGATCCAGAGACGTTATTCTGGCCGCTTCGGGCTCTGTCTTCTCTTCCTCAGCGTCGGCAGGGATACCAGAGTCGAAACTCTGTTTTGGCAGCGCAAAACAGGGGTCATGCCTGTCGCCGGATTCGAGCATTGGAGTTGCGTTCGGGAGCTTTCGAAAGCTCATAAAATTGAAGCCAATACGTCGTTGAATCCATAATTGAGCCCGAGGCTCCTTTCCCTCGTTTTGATTCTCCTCTATTTGCTTCTGATCAGTGTAAACGTCATCTGGAGAAAGAGGTTTCAGCTTGATTTTCCTACCTTTGTATCTGAATGTGTAGGAATTCTCCCAACCGTTATGGGTAACCCCTCTGTCGAATTGCCAAGGTCGACCCAGTATTAGGTGAACATAATTCATCGACACAACATCACAAATTACCTCATCTTCGTAGCCACCAATTTTAAAACGAACTACGACTTGCTTCGTAACATTAATCGTACCGTGTTCGTTGATCCAGCTGAGTTGGTAAGGCGCTGGATGCCTTTGTGTCGTCAATCCAAGCTTTTGAACGGCGTATAGGCTGATGATGTTTGAGCAGCAACCTCCATTGATCATGAACGAAATTAACTTGCCTTCGACAAAGCATCGGCTGTGAAATAGATTATCACGCTGCTCATCGGATTCTCGTTGCTTAAAAACAGCTGCTGGCTGCTCCTCTTGGACAAGAATTTGCATCTTCCTTGCCTCTACACTGCTCTCCACCATCTCTTGGTGTAGAACCGAAAACTTCAAACAAAAACAGCAGCTGCAAAGTACAAACAGGGGCTGCCCTGTTTTGGAACTCGATAAAACTGCTTATACGAAACAGCAGGTTCTTCTTCTCCTTCGCCCTTGTGTAGAACGGGGCTCTGATACCACTTGATACGCCCCTGGAGGGGTGTATGTTATCAAAGTCACGCAGCTAACGACTCAATCGAAGAATCGATTGAGCTCGAATCAAGAACGAAGCGTTCTTAATACGAACTTGGATAAAACGGAACCAAAAGGACAAATCCACACCTGGGATAGCTCGATTGGTATAAGAGGGTAGTTGCTCGACCACGATTGAAGTGACTATTCAATCGATACACAAGCTCAACAAGTTTGGAATCCACCAAACCCAAAACAAGTCGCAACTTGCACAAAACCAAAGGTTTGTTTTTCGATTAATCAAAGTCTGAATTTTACAACGTAATTAGAAGGTATTTAAATGAAAATAAACCTAATACAATCCTAATAGAGCTAGGCAACAATTAAGGTAAAAGTCTACACTAAAAAGGACACAAAAATTCGGGTTTAAACTCCCTTTCTTGAAGCACAAGCAAGCTGCCAACAAACAGTCAAAAATCAGCTTTCGTAGTAACTTCGTGCCATTCGTTCGAAGCCTTCCCGAACTCCAATCCTTCATCCAATTCCTTCCCTTTGTACATAAACATACCTAGTTTCATGTTGTGGAAGCCTTTGGTCTTGAATCAGATCCATACTCCTCGAATCAAGCTCCAAAGTAGGCTTCACAAAACAGTTTCCAGACTTGACCATTTTCTGGCAGTTTTCCAGTTTTGAGGTAGCAACTTGGAGGCCTTGGAAAACAACCTTAATGACATCATCTGGATCCACAAAGCATACCATTGGAAAGTTGGCAACTTTATCTGCAAAACAAACTATTAAAATAGAATTTCCACCAAGCCAATTGAGAGAACCATGCCTCCAAAGTATGTATCCTGAACACGGATTTTGACTTGGCCAAATTCTGCCTTTCTTCTTCCCAACTTTGATAGCTTCTTTGGCAAGTAATTGTGACTCGTAGAAGTGGCCAATTTGGATCATATCAAGAACAAGCTCCAATGCAAACTTCTTACCAAAGGCCGAGTCAACCAAACTACCAAGGAGCGTATCAAGAAAAAAGTTGATCCTTTGATGGTCGACTTGCTAAACTTGAAGATTTGGTAGGCCAATTTGTCACACATTCCAACAAGAAGTTTGAAGCTTATGACAAGTTCATAGAGAATACCTCAACAGAATTCTCTAGTTTGGAAGCGGGTCAAAGTAATCAACCAGCTTCACTTCAAAATCTTGAAGCTCAACTAATTTCATTGTCTCAACCTATCTCATTAAGACCTCAAGGAACTCTACCGCGCAATACCGAGTCGAACCCGAAAGAAGGATGTCATGCGGTAACTCTAAGGAGTGACCGACCTTTAAAGGAGATTCATATTTCAACTCCAAGGATCCTAGTAAGAGAATTTCACCAAGAAGTTGTTCAAGAAGAAGTAGTTCGGGAGGAAGTACAACCTTCCATTGAAGTCAATGTCGAAGATGAGGGAAAATCTAAGAAAACTCATGAACCCGAGCTAATATCAAATGCTCCTTATCCTAGACAGTTATTTGAAAGCGATCTTTATCATGAATGTGCTCCATGGAAGGACACATTGAAGCAATTAAAAGGTAACCGTTCCTTTCCTAGACATGGTATTGAAGATTCCTAAGTATACAAAGTTCTTGAAGGAAATTTTGTCGAGAAAGAGGAAAATGGAGGAGGTAGCTATGGTATCCGTTAGTGAAGTTGCTTCGACATCCATTGGGTATGGAGGATTCCCTCCCAAGCTAAGAGATCCAGGAATCTTCACTATTCCATGCACATTTGGAGATAAAACATTTTGGAATCCGTTAGTCGACTTGGGGTCTAGCATCAACATCATGCCTACACGAATATACAATGATTTGAACCTTGGACCACTCACTCCTACTCCAATGCAGATTACGTTGGCCAATAGTTTCGTTGTCAAGCCAAGAGGAATCATAGAGAATATCTTGGTAAAGTGTACTCATTTTGTCTATCCGGTGGACTTCGTGGTTCTAGACACGGAGGGGTATGATGCATCGATAATTCTAGGCCGACCATTTACATCTACGGCACGGACTATCATCGATGTAAGTGAAAGCAAGATCACATTAAGGTTTGGTGAAGAGGAGATAAGCTATAAGATGACTCCAATCCCAAATTTCCACAAGTATTACAAATGGGACGAGGTCAAGATGGATTGTGAGCCGGTTACACCTCCTACCACACCATCTTCAAGTCCCGAGATTGAATGGGTCATATGGTCTCCCATGTTGACCCCCATGATGCTCAAGTTGAATGAGGGAGTGATTCTTGCAAAAATATGAAGAAACCGGGCAAAGAGAAATCTTCTTGCAAAATGCAAACCAAAGAGTTGTTCAAGGTTTCTCATTTCTCCGGTGATCATGGAAAAAAGCTCCGAAGGTTTATATTTGTGGAGAGACATCCTAAGAAAGGTAACAAATTTGTTAAGGGAGATTTAGCTCCTATTCTTGAAAATGAAGAGTTCGGGGAATGCTACAAGTCATTCACAGATTACGACATCTCTATCAAGGAGCCTCACCCTCACCATCTTGCAAATCAAGTCTCAAATGGATCCTTTCTATCTCAAGCACTGTACGAGGCATCCGAGAGATTCCATGGTCTTCACCTTGGACTTCACCATAAGTATTACATTTACGATGGGTCATTGATGAAGAATGGAGGACTCTCCGTTTGATCTTAAGGAGTCAAGTCCGGCGAACAGAATTTTAAAGACGTGCTTGTTGGGAGGCAACCCAACACTTCAGTTTGTGTATCTTTTCCCTTTCCTTTTCGTTTTAGTACATTAGAGATGCATTGAAATTGATTGATAAGAATTAGCATTTCGTTTGGATGCTTGATTGAATGTTTAGATGAATGCTTGAACTAAGAGACGTGGAGAAAATGAGTTGTCCTGAACAGGGCAAAGATCGTGGTCGCAATCTTGGGTGCCCAGCCCGCGATCTTGCCCGTCCCTATTTAAGCATTGGTAGCCTCTTTAGATCTAAGTGCATTCATTTTTTTTCACCATTCTCTATATCTATATGCTATTACTCTCCAACTCTCTTGACTTTTTGAACCCACCTTCTTTAATCTCATCTTTCAATAACTTTTGAGAAGGATTTCTATTGATTTTGGATTCCCACCATGTCCCCTAGCAAGATAAGGTACACTTTTCCTTGTTTGACTCTATTTAATTGCCTTATCTTGCGCAATATGTGTTGATGGCTTAGAGCCTTTAATGTCCATTTTCTACTTGGAATGACATCTTGATGGCATGAGATTGTTTTTCTTTTCTTTAATTAACCCTCTATGTTACTTTTGATGCCTTGGTGGGCTGTGCCCATGCATTTATGTCATCTTGGACTACTACCCACCAAGTGTTTGTGAAAAGTCCCCAACCACATAGAGTTCATTATTTGCATCATTTTGGATTAAACATCAATTTCATTGCACGGGGTGTTGGTCATTGATTGTTCCTACATCAATTTGGAGATATCCTTCTTACTATTGTGGAGATATTTCTCTGTTCAATTTCCCTCTTTTTCCAAGTTCTTAGTCACATTCAAGTGTGGGGGTGAATTTGAAAATTTCATGATACCCTATTGTATTCTACCCGATTAATGTTTCATGTTGAATTGATGATTTATGCATATGTGCACCACTTGTTTTGAAGGATAATATACAAGACTAAAGGCATGACTCATGGTGAGAGCTCTTCCTCTCGAACAACTCTTCCTCGCCAAGGTCAAAAGAAGAAAAGTAGAAAACAAGGAAGTCCAAGTCAAAGGAAGTGGTTGTAGAAGACACTCATCTACCATCACAACTTGAACATCAATCAAGGGTAGTTCCTCAATATGTAGAAGGTGACGTAGAACATATCACTCACTACTTTTTAGAGCATGTACCCGAGCAATTCAAGAGCAAACTTTTGTGGCTTCAAAGGCTACCTTTAGGCAAAAGTACCTGTCTTGATTGGATTCTTTTCGACCAACTTGTAATTGAAGATGCATTTCGCTCTAGAGTACAAAAATTGGAATGACACAACTTGCTTTCTGACACGACCCGATCCTTTTTGAAAACCCAAACCATAACTCAAACCGAAAACCTGTTACTCCGGAGCAACCCAAACATCTTTTTAAAATAAATAAACCGAAAATGTTTAAGAATTTCAAACAAAAAGATTGAACACTTGGGCAAATGACAATCCCAATACTTAAAATGAAAGAACTCAGGATCTCCAGTTTACACTCCTAACCATGTAACAAGGAAATTAAACTACTCTAACTCTGACTCTTCACGAGTTCCTTGACTTCTCATCAATGCTGGTGCAGCTGCTTGCATCGCCTTGCCTCTTCGTTGGGCCTTATTGTGGACGAGGGTATACGTACGATAGCCCGAGACCGGGTGACCAGGATTGTGATAGATTCGTGAACAACGTTCACTTTCCGAAAAGAATATTTCCACCCTCAACAAGCCTAGGATTACAGGAAATTTCTCCCGAGGATAAAACTATCACCACTTTAGGTTCCAGGCTAAAGAACACTAAAGCATATTTAGAAATTTTTGGAAGAAAGAAGAAGAATATGTTTGATGGTGTGTGGCATCATGCACCCCCACACACATATTTATAGGGGTCGAATCCATGCATTGTTTCATGAAAGGTTGCATTTACCCATACGAAAGGTTGCCTTTATCCATATGAAAGGTTGTCTCCATCCATATGAAAGGTTGTCCTTATCCATATGAAGGGTTGCCTTTATCCTTAAGGTTATCCTTATCCATAAAATAATGCAACCGCCACTAGGACAAAGGGATGTGTCCCTTCAAAAAATTAGAATATCGGTTCGGTCGGTCTAATCCTAAACTGGTTGGTCGGTCCAACCCAAAACCGGTTAGACTTGGTTAGTCCGGTTCAACCAAATTTCCAACATTCCTCCCCCATTTAAGTGTATTATTAGAATTCACTAAAATCACAACATTCTTCCAACAAAACTTAAGCATAAATGAAAATGTCGTGACGATTGAATTTTCACCTTAGTATATTACACTTGACGAATACTCGAATAAAAAGGGTGTCGGTAACGATTAACCCATTGACTCATATGAATATTCGAAGATAATATACACTTAAGTTTTCAAAACTTCTAAGTGTCTTGACACTATTATCCGCCATGTGTCCAATCCTTCTCATAAGCGCACACGAAACCAAAGTCCGGGTTTCTTGAAGCGGCTACACTTCATGCTTACGTAGGTTGAATCTCTATTCGTGTAACCACATAATACAATTTTTCAAAGATTCAATTAAGAAGTTTTAAACTTCATCCTCTTCTCTCATGCAGGATAACAAGCACATACCTCGGGATGACAAATTTTGTGCTTCAATTTCTGATAATAAGCTTTCCACATTGAATTCAGCCTCTAGCGTAGTATTAGAGGGGAATTGGGTGACCCATTACCAAAAATTATATGGACTTTAATCCATCCCTTTCACTGACTTGATCACCAAGTCACTAGTTAACCACTTCGTCAAATGATCAACCAAATTAATTCGAGTTTGGTCATACTGTCTAGACACAACACTATGAATGATCAGTTCACACCTTTTACGTGCCATACTCCCACATGACCATACTTATCATTTTCACTTGACTATATGCTTTAGCCAAATTAGCATTACTATCACAAAAGATAGTAATAGGTGAGATTGGTTTAGGCCATAAATATATGTCATAAACCAAACCTCTCAACAACTATGTCTCTTCTCTAAGAGAAATCAAGGCCACACAAACTTTGATTCCATAGTGAAACTTAGTGATGTAAGTTTACTTTCTAGAGGCCCAAATTGTGGCACCTCTCCCAAGCAAGAGGACTCATCTCAATGTTGAAGTATCACCTTTAGCATGAGAAATCCAACTAACATCAACAAATCCTTTCCAAAATTGATGGAAATCCACTATAAGTCAATACAGTGTGCCTTTTGACATATCCTAGTACACGCCTCATTTCATTTCAAATGATGAGAACTAGGATTCATCATGACCAACTTAATTGTTCTATCGCATATGCGATATCTAGCATCATGTAAGTCATGCATACATCTCCAGTTGTAAAACTGATTTCGAGTATTAACCATAAGTTCCATACTTGGATCCATTGGGGTCTTCAACTCACTACAATTCCTACTATGGAATTTATGCAAGTACCTTCTCAGGCAGAAAAATTGAGAGAAGGACTCTTCTTTATCGTTCCGCTTGATTCAATACACAGAATCACATTTGCTTACCCCATGTCCTACATGGAGAATTGAAATAACAACTTTTTATCAAAGTTCACTTATCTTTTATTGGTTCCAAAGATGAGCATATCTTATACATACAAATGTATGATGACTTCATTACCAGAATCATCATAAATTGTGTACACATTTTGTCTCTTTGGTTTAAAATAACATAAATCACTTGACAAAATCACTTATCTTTGATTGGTCCCAAAGATAAATATGTCATCTACATACAAACACAACGACTCTATTACCAGAATCATCAAACATTGTATATACAATTTTGTCTCCTTAGTTTAAAATAACATAAACCACTAGACAAAATCACACCACCAAACCACTAGACAAATCCAAGTTTATCTAGAACTTCGTAAATGTCGAATAGAGAATTAGACTAATTAACCATTGAGTATGTGACCTACCCAAAGACAATTTTCATTCTTCTATTTCTCCATTTTGCGAATCATTCTCCTTCTTCCTCATCTTCGAATCATCCCTTTTTCAAGTTACCTTCCGGATATGGAATACACCATGAGACAAGTACGAAGAAAACCCATCTTCTACTGCCATCGATGAAAAACCCATCATCGAACATTCTCATAATTCCATAGACCGGAACCGGTTTCTTGTAAAAAGCGGTTCGAGCCATCATACCGGAAAACTATTCTTTTCGATTGTTCCAAAAATTTCTAAGTATGCTTTAGTGTTCTTGAGCCTGGAACCTAAAGTGGTGATAGTTTTATCCTCGGGAGAAATTTCTTGTAACCCTAGGCTTGTTGAGGGTGGAAATATTCTTTTCGGAAAGTGAACGTTGTTCACGACTCTATCACAATCCTGGTCACCCGGTCTCGGGCTATCGTACGTATACCCTCGTCCATAATAAGTCCCAACATCTTCTTGCAGTCGGCCTCTGCTAACCCTTCCTCGACCTGGTGAGTGAGAAGGGGTCAGTCTCGTTGTTACTTCCTAAGGTCGTTGCCCTAGGAAAACTCCTTACTAAACACATTATTAGGGGAATGCCTTCCTTAGATGAAAGTCGTTCTCACTTTCATCCTTTAAACTTTACTATCAAACAGTCTATAAGAGATCTTTACTCCTATCTTATCTTTAGAATTCCCTTACTTATATTCTTAATCCATAGACACCAACACAAGGGACCACCGCGTTACGTCTCGCCGTCCAGTGTCCCTACCCTAGTATGCCAACCGCGTTACGTCTCGTCGTTCGGTTGCATACCCAAACTCGGCAATGGCACTGCGTTACGTCTCGCCATCCAGTCCATGCCCATCAACTACTGCGTTACGTCTCGCCGTCCAGTAGTGACCCAACCGCCTGGGGGTTCCTCATACCATCCATCCAACTCTTACAATCATACATCCATACATTCATACATAGCACATCGCGCATACTAGAAAAATTAACTAAATAATAACTTGAACGAAAAGCAGAAACTAAAAGACCTACGACAGAGATTTTACCCCCTTTACACTCACCTTACAATTCAAATCGGCTTACTCGAATTAACCACCACTCCTAATTTGATACGTGCATCCTAGCTCCCCTGTGAGAATCCAAAAGCTTTATCTGGCTACACAAAACTTCCTCCCATGTCCATGCTCTCGTCCTGTTAAATCCTCTAGTGCTAGATGAACTAGCATTCTTTTTTTTTTTTTTTTCTCCAACTCGTGGAGAACTCACCTCCGGGACAAGTAATTACGTGACAATCTTTCTCACTTCTCAATACCCCAATATATAATTCCATCCACATGTAACCCAGTCCAACGTAAGCATGCAACTTAGGCCTGAATTTACATCAAATTGTCATTTGTGCTCATCTGAGATTAATGATTTGCATACAGGAACCTCTAGCCAAAGTCGGAGTTAGATATGATGTTTTTAGTGCCTTCACTACTACACGCTGCCAGTCCAAATATATTGGATTTCATTTGTACTTAGGGGCACCTCCATCATTAATGTCTTCCCCGACTACAGTCGAGCCTTCCGTCCAAAGAGGTGAAGAGGCCGCTACCCGGCTCCAAGCTACCAAGACCTCCACGTTAGACCATACCATTTATCGTACCGATACGAGCCTGTCATCCCACCATGAGCCAACCCCGGATGCTATACCGTACTTGATCCAAAGCCGAGGAACTCATTCGTTCAGTTTGGCGCTCTTCGTACCCACGCCGATCCTTGCGCCGGCGAGAGGATTTTGTAACCAGCACCATTGCCGGCTTCACATAGTTAGCTTTTATTCTTTTGACGTCGCCGCCAACGCCACTGGAGCTCCGAGCTTCTTCACCAAAATCGAATCATTGGGACCTGTAGCGCCTTTAGCATAGAAACCTCATCTCATTAATTATTACGGCATTTCCTGGTGACTACTAGATATTGTCAAATATTCCCCTCTCACATCGCGTCATTCACGATCAATCCAGCCTGTTCCTGTTCCCTCCTTATCGCACCATCTTAGACATCTTGCTCGCACTAACGCCATGATATGGGAGGCCCCTCTCTCTCTCTCTCTCTCTCTCTCTCTCTCTCTCTCTCTCTCTCTCTCTCTCTCTCTCTCTCTCTCTCCTGGTTCTCGCTAACAATCAAGTTACTACCATGTGTCGCAGGCGAGAGGGGGTAACGGGCCTAGGGTTAAAGTGGTTCAAGGGTAATTTGGAAATTTCAACGGGTGAGTTTAATCTGAAACTCAATTAAAGTCTGTAACTTTCGTGTTTTATGACAAAACTCGACACCGCTTAAACCGAGAGTTTACATTTTAGTCCTCATCGATAATATGGTGGAACTTGACCCAAGGGTGTAATTGTCATTTTGACTTTTGGGAAGAGCGGGGTGTAACACTCTCTATTCAAGAACACATGCACCGGGTGCTTATTCTTTAGTTTATTAGTACACTCACTATTCGAGACATGAGGGGTGTCGCCGACCTTGAGGATAACATTCAGTTTCAACTCGGAGGAGAGTATCGTCACATGTCAATCCGGGAGTTCACTAGAGCAATGGACATCTACCAGGTAGGCTTCATTGATTCACCTAATGTTTCGCCACCTTGACAAGGGAATCCGACTTCCCTTGTTTCAATGCCTTCTATGAGTCTGAAGTCAAGAAACCCGTGAGCCGACAATGGGACAGGAGAATATCAAAAGACAGTGACGTGCAACCAGAGTGACGACTCATCCACCACGTGATTGCTAGGTCTGTGGGAGGAAAGAATAGGAGCAAAGGCAATCTCACCGCCCGGGACATCACCCTATTTCATAGAATGCGCCTCCCTGCCCTCCCACAATCTCTCCATCTCGGCCTATCAATCTTATCTATTTTCAAGCGTTACGAGATGGATCACCGACTTGCCGCACTCCACGGAGGAGTGTACGTCATCCAACTTGCCAGATATTTTCAAGTCGAATTCGGAGCTGTGCAATTTCGTTTGGATCGAATGACCATTCCTATATCTTTCGGTGTCTTGAAGTCAAAACTTAAGGTGCTGCACATGAGCAATGATGGCATTTGGGGTGTGCGGGGATTCCCATTCCCAACCACCAATACATTGGACGTGGGAGGAACCGTATTCCATCTTTCGGAAGCTAGGAGGGCAAGGGACCAAAGAGGATTGACAACCGAGGAAGACCAAGAGGAAAGTGTGCATGAAGGAGGAGAGGTGCATATTCCCACTTTTCAACCGGTTCACCCACTGAGCAATAATGCAATAATTTATAGAAGGGAGAAGGAAGCACGACTTCACATTATGGCATGCATCCACGCGATCATGGAGAAGATGAACATTCCGATCGAAGAAGTGCTGGCCACAGTCAACCATTCTGAAGAAGAAGAAGAAGAAGAAGAAGAAGAAGAAGAAGGACACTCTGAGGAGGAATGAGTCTAAGCATCCAGGACCTAAGTTCTATCTTTTCTTTTTCTTTGCTTTTCTTTATTTAAATAAAAACAATGTTTAATTATCGCTTTATTTTCATTTTACCTTTCGCCACTGACAATAACATGCACGGATTCAAGTGATCACATATTTTCAACAGGACGTAAATGAGTAAAAACAGTACGGTTAGGCGTCATATGATTGATCACAACAGAATTTAAAAGCCATCGTGGGGACTTACGCGAAGCAGTACTCGTAAAAAAGGCAGAGGACAAAGCGGCCTGGAGATCCTCCTAAACCATCCGCTGGATTTGTTCAGGAGAGGGAAGCAGCAACAATCCGTCGAAAAAACAACTAACCTTTAGAGAAGAGGCTCTGATACCATATCAAATACTACGAACTTGAAGAAAAATAACACCAACAATTTTAACATGGTATCCCTGAAGCTCGGGACTAATCCATGGGAGAGGTTGTGCTCTCCAAAAGAATTCACTATCGTCAAAAGAGATTAACCCTACACAATTACATCACTCGACTATTTATAGGGGAATAAACACTAGACCTAATAAACTAGACTACTACGAGATTAATACATAATTACATAATGGTACCCAAAACAATATAAATCAACACTCTTATGTCACATGTATGTAAATTTTTCACGCTATTGTTCATCCTTGATGCTCCTCTTATCCATTAGACATCACTTCTCACTTCTCGCCGGCAGTGGGATTCAGAGATTTGGCCGAAGCTTTTGTGGAGGGGTTTGGTCTCGAAATGGCGTGTAGTTTTCTTTTCTTCCTCGGGGTGATCGAAACAGGCTGCCAAATGGTGAAGATAATGCTAAGGGGACAGTCAAGATCGAATTTGGAGTTATGTGAGGTCTATCTGTAAGGATCTCAATGAAGTAATGAGGGTGTGGACTGGGCTCGGCATTTTGGGGTAGTTAGTTAATTAAGTTGGGTTGAGATTATGTTAGGGTTGGTTAGGAGAAGGATAGTGATTGGCCGAGTGGTAGATTTTGGCTAGGACTAGGATAGTTATTAGGGTTTTCTACCCTATATATGTGTAAGTTCGGCATTACTTCCAATTATCAAATAATAAACCTAAAAAGTCATTCGACACTTTACATCATTCTCTCATTTGTGAGCTACAAGCAACTCTCGAACCGAGAGCGTCGGTTCATCAGTGGTATAAGAGCTTGGTTGCTTCTGTGGCAATGGGGCGATCGCCGAATGAACATTGTACGGCTTTGGAGGCCACCACCGAAGGCTTGGTGGAGAAGGCGGATCAGCTTGAGGCAGCGATCCAACACATTCACCGTACGAGACCTCTCCAAATGGGCGACGAGGATAGATGCGACCCTGGCGATGATCGTGGTGCTGCTGGAGAAGTTAATGATTCAGCGTGAGGGGAAAGAGATCCTCGCAACTCTCGGCGGCAAGGAAATATCCAAGGGTAGCAGCAACGGCGTTCGAAAGACCGGAACAGAGCTTGGAGGCAAGCGCAATGTGATTGGAGGGAAGGGAGACGGTGGCGGGCAGCGAATGGGGCCCGAGACGGACTCGAGTAGGCCTCGAGGCGGTGGCGGCGATGGATGAAGCAAGGGCAGCAACGACGACATGATTTTCCTCGCCATGCTTGCGAGGCCGGAGTTTCCCAGATTTGTTGGTGATGACCTGGGTGTGTGGTTCCCCCACGTGGAGCAATTTTTTGAATATCAGGAGGCTCGATGGTTGAAGAGGACGTATAAGGATGTAGAGGAGCCGATTACATGGGAATTGTTTTCTCAGGAGCTATGGGCGCGTTTTGCGTCAACGGAAGGCAGAGAGTTGCGATGAGGCATTTTCTTGTATATGCCAAACGGGCTCTCTGTGCGACTACCAACGCGAGTTTGAGAAGCTCTCTAATCGTTGTGTCGGCTGGACACAACAGGCGTTGGTGGGTACCTATTTGGGTGGGTTGAAGGTAGAGATCGCGAATGAGATTCGGATGTTTCAAACTCAAACTCTACGAGACGCTATCAGTCTGGCTAGGATGAAAAGTGAGCAGCTGCAGCGCAAAAAGCCAGTTGGCCGAGCGGCGGTTCAGATAGGAGCGGGAGCGACGGGCTACGACATTGGCTTAGGCGGCAACGGGTATGGACCGAGAGCTGCGAACTCGGCGCCTCCAGGTTGGACGGGGCCACATCGTGGGCCTATGGACGGGAAGCGCTTGAGTTGGGAGGAACAACAGCTTCGTCGGGCTCAAGGCCTATGTTTCAACTACGACGAGTGATTCACCATTGGGCACAAGTGCAGTAATGCTAAGGTGATGTGCTTGTTCGAGGAAGAAGACTGCAAGGGTCAACCTTGGGGACAAGGTTGATTTCAAGGGAGGAGGATTGATGAGAGAGTGGGTTGGGCTCGACATTTTGGGGTAGTTAATTAATTAAGTTGGGTTGGTATTATGTTGGGGTCAGTTAGGAGAAGGGTAGTGATCAGCCGAGTGGTAGGTTTCGGCTAGGACTAGGATAGTTATTAGGATTTTCTACCCTATATATATGTAAGTTCGGCATTAGTTCCGGTTATCAAATAATAAACCTAAGAAGTCATTCGACACTTTAAGTCGTTCTCTCGCTTGTGAGTCCAACTAGTCTGCACACACAATGGGCCATATTGAGTGTTGATGGGAGGATGAAGAGATTTGGGTATACAGACAGAGATGTTGTGACTATGTTAAATTCATATTCTCAATGAAAATACGACATATATATTTATTAAAAGAAAAATAGTGTTATCTTACCGAAAACACCACAATGTAGAAGTCCTCTAGGAATTTGTCCCATCCAACTCATTTTGAGTGGGTTTATGAGAACACAAAGTTTTCCTGTAGATGGGGAGCTAGCATCACGATCTTGATCATATCCATGTGGTTCGCGTGTATTACAAGTTGAATTTGGTTTCAATCTTGTAACTTGGTCAAATTTGGGTTCTATTTGATCTCATAGTCAAACCAAAACAAAATTTTATTCGAGGTTAACACTATAACCAAATTAGAGGGTCCTTCAAAACATTTCACTTCACTATACAATCTTTTATGCCTTATTCACTCCCCCCCCCCCCCCCCCCACCCTCTCTCTCTCTTTTGAGTAAGGTATTGTCTTTCACTTCAAAAGCCACACAAAAGCCACCCTTGAGATGTAGGAGATAAAGTCTTTCACTTCATTTAATCTCTAGCTTCTAGTAAAAAAGGCAAGGTTAAGCTATCCTATTGTTTAACAGCGAGAAAACTCATGTTGAATAGATTTGATAGCAATTTTCCAGGTTAAATTAGGCCAACTAGGCGGTTTTGTTAGCCAAGGGTTGGTTTCCAATTTTTCGTGTTAAATTAAGTGATTTTGTTAGCTATGTCGTCAAAACTCAAGAAACTGATATTATTAATGGAAAACAGAAAAGAACGAAAAGTGATTAAATTTGAACCAATTTCAATAATAAAAAATAATTTTTTTTAATAAAACAGTTTAATAATCACATTCATCAAACTTGCAATTTATCTGTAAAAAAAAAAAAAGAACCAATGATTTTAGATGCAACATTTCATGTGGCCATTTTCCCATATAACCCCCGAAAAGGAATAAACATGCAGCCCTCTTTCCAGTTTCCATGGGTGTCTGCTCCACTTATTCTGGGCCGAAGCAATAATTCCAGGTCCACTAATTTCTTTTCTCCAATTACCGATGACAAAAAGTAAAGGCCCAAAAGCCTGCTTACTTGTTTTATTTTTTTTTAAAGCAAAAGCCTGCTTCCACTGCTGCGGCCTGCGTATGTCTCTGCGTGGTTGGGTTGAAGAAAACCGCGCGGATTGATTTCTGTCTAAGCATTTTCCTACTATGTGAGTATCTGACTACAAATCTTATATCAGCAAATGACTATATGTCTATCTGGTGGCTACTTCGGTGCAGGGGCGGAGCTACAGCAGCCCTCGGGGAGGCTCCGGCCCCCCGAGAATCTTGAAAGTTACGTATAAAATGTTCGGTATTATACCTACAAACTAGAGGTTACGATAAAATATCTTGACGTGCAATGTAATGGCAATGAGCTTGGTTTAGTCTAACGGAAACTGAGGGGACTATTTTCCGAAACTAGCTTCTGTTCCCTGGTTCGATGCTCGGGAGAAGCAAGCTTGTACTTTTTTTCTTTTTTTCTGTTTACCCTCCTTTTCTTAAACAATTTTGTTTCTTCGTTAGAATCCATTAAGTGAAATCAATTAATTAAGCACTTCAATAAATCGATTTAGCCATATTAACTTTTATAATTATATTTAATCATAAAATTTAATAAAATAATTTCAATTAATAACTTCATTCATGATTTAAATTCCTTAATTTCAAATTTACAATTAAGTTCTTCAATTGTAACTATTAGACTATATAAACAGTAATTGTTTTCTTAGCTAATATTGATATATATTCGATTTTTAGTGATGAAAACAGAACGCGCGATACAATGACAATATTAAAATATATTATTATATTTTATATAATTTTTATTTATATTGAACTTAATGTATTTATTGTTTATAATAAAACAAAACTATTTTTTTAGTCTTTTGCGATAACGTTTTACGAAAACTTCGGCCCCCCCGATCGTTAAATCCTAGCTCCGCCCCTGCTTCGGTGCACTCACTTTTTTGGGTGCATCAACTCTAAAAGAGGTCATAATACATCGATTTTGAACTTTAATTGGTAGCATTAGTATAATATGAAGATATAATATAGAATCACAACTAATCAATCCATTACCCTAACCCGTTAACCTTCAAATTTGAATCCCAAACCAAAATCCCAAATTGTAAACCTAACCCTAAATCCTTAAAATTAAAGTAAATCCAAAATAATTTTTGCACAAATTCATGTGTTTCTTGTTCATAATATCATAAGCGACAATCGATACCGTTTTGACATGAATCGCATGCTCGGAATGATAATTATGAGGCAGGTGCATTGAATGCACCCAAAAAAATGAGTGCACTGAAAACATCACCATGTCTATCTATATCTACTAGTTTTTTACCCGGCCAGTTGGCCGGGAATTTTATTTTTATTATTAATATTAATTAATTTATCTTTATGCCTATATTAAAAATTCTTAATACTTAGTAGTTAGCACACTTACTTATGATGTTTTGATTCATAAATCATATTGTTGGGAAGGTTTGTCACGTCCCATTTAGTAACATATATTAATATTTTTCAACCAAGACACTCAAATTTATTATCTTATACAACATATATCAATACGTGATTCTCGAGTTTTGACACACTCTCAACAATTAATGAGTGTTCAGATTATTGTATAAAGATACTTGATTACCCGATAAATTATGTCTAGCCCGAATGAAATTTGACACGCATCGTACACCCTTATGATGATCAAATGCTGCAATCATTACTCATGTTCATTGTGAATGTTCATGAAGTCTCACTGTAGGATCTTATGATAAAATTTGTCTATCAAGACACTCAAATTTAGTGCAACATTCCGAACCTTTCCTGAGGAAGATATTGTCCGCTTTGGGCCTCGACCCTCACGGTTTTCGACTTGGGGTGCAATTCAAGGTGACTTCCCATAAGCTATCATATTATACCCTAACCTCTAATGGGTGATCCCCCAGTTCCTAAATTTCTAACCTAAACCATGAAATTTTGTTAATCTTAAAATGAAAATCAACGATAATTTCGATTAATCAGAATTGTTGATTTTCATTTCAAGATTAAATAAATCTTATGCTTTGGGATAGTGAATTGGGACTGAGGTTCACGCATTAGGGGTTAGGGTATAGTATCATGCACCAAACTTCGATTAATTCGTTGTCTAAATAACAATACTCAACGGACGTATTGTAAGGTAAGTGTATGCCCAGGTGTATGCTAGCCTTTGTAATATACATAGAGTTTAGTTTACTTTTAACACTAATCAATACCTTCGAACTCAACTCATTGGCTGAATAAAAAGAGTTTGTGGCTAAGGTAACTCGATGTAAATACAAATTTCGTACTCTACAAACTAAAATATTTTCATTTTGAAACTTTGATATCGGGTAATTTTTTACTGCCAAAATTTGTATGGAGTCAGACTCACAACCATATAACTAAATGAGTTCTTACAATTGTCTTACTGAACTCGTCCTTGTTAAATATTCATCATATTAACCAAATGCCTCGGTTTAGACTATTGTTACTATATTATTTATTTATCTATATATATCAAGTAACACAATGATAGATTTGTCTCTCAAGACATTTTAAACAACAATTTCCAACCCTTATTTAATTATTGCAGGGTCAGGGGTTGACGAAACGTGATCCTTAACGTACATCCTCAACAAAGATTTCTAACCTTCACTTGGAAATTTTAATTTATTATCCTCGATTATTAATGACTCGAGCTTGCTCAATGAACTTGATCTAGAGCATTAATATATGATGTAAACTTACGATAAATTATAAATTGTTGCACATGTGATTCCTAAGTTTTTCACTTGATTAGAATGAATAAGAAGATTTTTTAAGAAATTAATATTATTTTTTGGTCAAGTTTATAATACATATCTTTTTTTCTCTCTTTCAATCATTATATTTTGTTCTATCGACAAAATATTATCATTATTATTACTATCGATTAATACAAAATATTATTATTTATATGTGTTTGTTTAATTTTTCATCAAAATGTAGAAAATTTACTTGATAAGATATAAGTAGATATTTTTAGTTTAAAAAATATAATATATGTCACTCTCTGTTTTCATTTTTTATATTGTGTTTAATTGAATTAATGTTATTAATTATGTGTGTTTGTTTAAATTATTCATAAAAATGTAACTTATTATTAAGTTTTAGGTAAAAGAAGTATAAAACTTACTTAGTAAGATCTAATAATGTATTTTTGGGTTTAAACAAATGTGATATATCATATATGTCACTCTTCAAACATTAGTCCACTACAATGTACATTGGTATAATTCAAAAGCACAAAAAAAAAGAATTATTGGATAAAAGAAAAGGAAATATTTAATGAAGAGAGAGATAGCTTCATAAATATATCAATAATGATTTTTTTGTTTGTAAGAGAATTGTCCACCTTGGCAACTTGTGAGTTCTCCAAGTGCTTATGTGGCAAAAAAATTACATTTGAATTGCCATAATATTATGTATAGATAGATAGATAGATAGATAGATAGATAGATAGAAGATAGATAGATAGATAGATAGATATAGATTCATTTTTCTGTAAAAACTGTAATAAAAATTGCACAGATACACTGCATGCGATGTTTGGTAGTTAGAATTCTATAAATTCATTTATGTATTCTAAATAAATTTATTGTTTCAATGTATGAATTTGGAAAATATATTATTTGGAGGTTAAATGATTTTTGTATGATCTATAAAAAATAAGGAAGAAATAAAATGAGAGATTGACAATCTCAGATAAAATATGAGATTGACAGTCATTCATAATGAATGATTGTGGTTGTCTCATCTTCTGCTCAAATATAAATATTTTGTTTAATTTTAAAATAAAAAAATAATTATCTTAATTACATGTATTGTCTAAATATATCATCCGAAAATATCAAATTTCTTATTAGTAATACATGAGTTATTTTACTGTGAATAGAATCCAGTAGCAATATAGGCAGCAAACACTTATAACTAAAAAATCTGTCTTTTTATGAATAAAAAATTCGATCTTTCACGTGAACTTAAAAAGTTAGTAATAGAATATTTTGTATTAAAATTGTGATTGAACCGTGATTCAATTATTTTGTACCACCAAAACCGCCTACTATAATAATGTTTGAGGTGTGATATCCAATATTATTGATCCGACCAACCATTACAATAAATTTTTAAAACATTGGTTTAATTAAACTAGTGAAACGAGCCATCTATAGCACTGTTACTATTTTCTTCTCTTCCTCAAGTGATCTGTAGGCTGTAGACCATTAATATTCCCATATTTCTCTTTTATTTGCTTACGTATACATTTTGATTCTCCCCTTCTACCATGAATTTCCGTTGTTGTTTGGAGAATTTATTCTAACATGGGTTGTGATTGATTCAATGGGAAAGAGCCGCAATACAGCACATGCATTTGCAAAGCCATGTGAGCCAAACGGCCTCTCTCTAGTCTTTACACCGCCCAAACTACGCGACCATCTACACGCAATTGCACCTATCATCGTCATATAATAAAAGCAACAAAAAAAGCTTATTTTTTATTATTAATTTTTAAGATGATTGTCACATCAGTGGAATGCCGGTAGTTAGAATGCCGATCTATTGAATCGATACTAATAATAAAATTGATGTGAGTACCATCAATATGATCGACATGCTCGATTTTTTTTTGTCTAAATAACCTCGTTTGAGTGATTTTAATTAATAGTGATTTTGAGTGTTGACGTGAAACAGTGCATTTAGATATGAGTATTTGTTATTTTATTTGAAATGTCCTATTTAATGTGTATTAAGAATATAGATTGTAAGCAAATTGTCTTCAACAAATGTGTTTTATATGTGCTAAAATTCATTTGATGTCAATGATTTTTCATACTTTTACATATTTTATTAGACCGACACAAAACAGTTATACCAACTAATACCAATTGCAAGATATGCGGAGATGACCCAGAGACAACGATCCATGTCATTCGCGACTGCCCTTTTGCTCGAGCAACATGGGCGAGCCTTTTGGAGGACGAGCCAGACAACCTTTTCTTCGAGGCCGATGTCAACAGATGGATTCACTTCTACTTGACAGATCGCAGTACCATTATTGACAGCACTCTCTTTGCAGGAACGTGTTGGCTGATGTGGAAGAACCGGAATGGCTTCTTGTTCCAGGGTGAGTTGAAGACCTATACACAAATCCAGTTCCACACCAAACAGCTCCGAAACCAAATTCTTAAGGCTTTTGAGAAGGAGAGGAATATCTTTGGAGATGGGGGACTCCGCAAGAATCGCATAATAGGCTGGCAACCACCGGCGCAAGGCTGGGTCTGTGTCAATACAGATGGCTCGGTCATTTCCTCTCCTGCGAGCACGACTTGTGGAGGCATTGTGCGGGGGGACGATGGCCGTTTCATTCGAGCATTCACAGCGAACCTCGGAGGGGGTTCAATCACTCGTGCAGAGCTGGCTGGTATTGTGTATGGGTTGAAACTTGCCTGGGATCAGGGGGCCAGGAAAGTTGTTCTGCAGACAGACTCACTCACTGCGAAATCACTAATTGAGACGGCGAATCCACACCATCCTCACTATACACAGGTTGCTGAGATCAGAAGATGGCTTGCTCGTCCTTGGACTGTCCGTGTTGAGCATGCCTACCGCCAAGCTAATCATGCGGTGGACTACCTAGCTTCTTTGGGTTAATCTGACCCAGTTGGGATACATATTCTTGATAGGCCGAACACTACTCTTTTGTATTGGTTGTACTATGACCGTTTGGGGATTCAGACGCCCCGTGCTATTTTTTCATAATAAAGGTTAGGGCGCCCTTAGCGCCCTGTTTCTAAAAAAAAAAACAGTTATACCAACGATTGCACAACATCTCTCGTTAAACTGCCACAACGATATAAACCGGTTTAACAACCTTGATTCTTCAGGAATATTTCCCAGATTCCCGGTTCGTTACCTGAGTGAACCGCACGAACCCACGTCCCGCGGCCCTGAAATTCTGCGTCAAATTATCATCCTGCCAGATCGCGCGTGGGCTTACATATATATTTATAGTAGGCACCCAGCCAGCCTCCTTTTACGGTCCATTTTTTTTAAAAAAGGGGTAACATTGTTAATTGTTATCTCCTTCCTTCCTCCGCAAAAGGGATTCTTTCCACACAAAAAAGAAGAAACGAAACTTACCCTTTCATCTTCCGCTCAAAGTCGCAGCCATTTCAGGCTTTCTCCATCTCTATCTGAGACTCGCAATATTTTCTTTCCTTTCGTTGCCTTGAATTCAAGATTTCTTCCGCTGTCCCCTCGATAAAATCTCTTGTGGGTCTGCGTGAATTTGCTGTTCGGGGTCAAATCTGTCGCTCAATTGGGATTTTGCGTTTCTCTGTTTAGGGATGTGAAAATTTCTTCGACGGGTACGGAATTGAAAAGCAGGCAGCAATGAAGTCCGGCAATGCGTTAGTGATTGGGTTGAGCCTAGTGTTTGGTTGTCTCTTTCTAGCCCTCGCTGCGGAGCTCTACTATCTGCTATGGTGGAAGAGGAGAATCAGCAGCCGGGAGAGTGAAGGGGAAGACGCCGAAGATTTCAGCCGTGGCAGCAACAGCGGTGGGAATTACGCCAAGGAGTTGATTCATCTCGTCTGCTGGAAGAAGCCTTCATCCTCGGACGCCGCCGCCAAACCCGACCCGAAGCCCCATTCCCAATCCGAACCCGACCTGGAGCTCGGCTCAGACGAGGGGAAAGATTCGCTGCTCAAAGGCGGCGCTGCCGGGGAAGGAGGAGGAGGAGGGGAAGAGAGCGTGGAATTGGAGCTGATGCGGCTGCACAATCTCGCCGGGCCGCCGCGGTTTCTGTTCACGATTAACGAGGAGTCGAAGGAGGATTTGGAGTCGGAGGACGGGAAATCGAGATTGGGCAGCCGGCAAGGGTCGAGGACCAAGAGCCTGAGCGACATTCTCCTCGCTGTCGATACGGCGACGCCGCTGTTCACCCCTCTGGAATCTCCCCGCTACTCCAACCCTCTGGAGTCGTATCACCGCCAAGGGTTCAACCCTTTATTTGAATCTTCTGCAGAAGCAGAGCTCAACCGGCTGAGATCCTCGCCGCCGCCCAAGTTCAAGTTCTTGAGAGACGCCGAGGAAAAGCTGCTGAGGAGGCTGTTGGAAGAGGCCCAGCGCCGCGGCGTCGGCAGCGATGGGGAATCCAAGGGTTCCGTCCTGGGTTTGGAGGAGGGGAAGCCTCTGTATCCAGCAATGGCGGCGGAAGTAATGGGAGGGTCGTTTCTGGGGTTTCTGTATGCGAAAAACAGAGAGGTCCGAGTCCATCGTCTGCCTCCATTGTCTTCCTCCACCACTTCTTCTCAGGTAATTCCGTTGGCTTCTTCCCCAACGTCGACGATTTCGGACCTTTAGTCGTAAAATCAGAGATGGGTTTAGCTTAATTTTGTTAGATTTAACCTGTAATTGAGTCTCATTTCGTTCTTCCTCTCGGGTTTTATTACCTCATATTCATTCCCTTTCCCAATCCCCAGTTCATTCTTGCTCAGAATGGACAGATAGACTACTTGAGATATGTTTTTTCCCTTCTTCTCCCCCATTATTGCATCTGCTCTGTATATATCCTGATTTTGTTTTATCATATGCTGCTTGCTTCACATGGGTTGTGGTTATTATTGGTGATGAATGAAACCATGGCTGGCTAGCTGGAGAGCCAGAGTGCGACAATAACATTTGTTTGGGATGGAGCCCACGCCACGCCCCTCGATCGGTTCCATTCCGTGGCAAAAATCTGTCAGAAGTGGTTATAGTATACTGTATGTACAGTAGTGCTTGGCTCAAGTGGGAAGAGCAGATTCTGGTTTCAAACGCCATTGATGGTCCCTCCAAACTCGTTATCCAGTCTAGGGTTGTTAGGAGGAGGTTGATTCTTTAAAAGTTTGAAACAGAAGAAATTGGCCGCCGCACAATTCGTTGGTGCAAGCGCGTAACGATGATAAATCATAATTAAGGGAATGGCTTACAGCTAATGCTCGTGTGTTCTTGCAAGTGAAAACAGCTTTGATTTGAGGATGAAATAGTTGAACTTTGTGGCATGAACTGGTTATTTTTTTCTCTTCCCAATCTGCTCTTTTCTTTTACCTTCCTTTTTTCTGAACACTTTTCGTGATTAGAGGGGGGAGAGAAGCAAAGAGGAGGAGGAAAAGGCAAAAAGCTTCTAGATTCTTGATTATTCTTCTTTTCTCTTGTTCTTTCCTTGGCCTTTTGGGTTTTATGCGATTAGTAATGGCGAAAACACAATATGAACTTGAGTAGCAGCTAAAAATATGATAGTATGGCAACTTTTTACAATCGAATTGTCCTGTCATTTTACAATATTTTTTTTCTAATTGTACGATAATCTCATAATGAATATCGAAGGGGGCGATAACCCATATCGATCTACAGTTGACTTTGGAAAAAAAAAGTCATTAATTCGAGAGAAGCTAAGAACTTATCCACCAAATGTCATACACTGTACAACACCGTCAGAATACAAAATTAATGCAATTTTCATTCAAAGATCACAGATCGTTCATATTTTGATGTAACGGTACAAGAGAGTTTGTAAACACGTTCTCCCAAAGTCGTGCTATGAACATAATAGAAAATCTGGGTGTATGGAGATGAAGCCATTTGGGGTGTATTTGAAAGAGAACTGACAAAAAGGAAAATAATGAAGGGATGGATGGCAGTAATATAAGGTGCAAGGCAAATGGGTGAAGTGTCCCTTTTACATAAACAACAAAGAAGTGTCGTTGTTATGTGTCACGCGATTCGGGCCGAAAGCCGCCCCACCAAAAAATATGCTTTGTTTAAATTAACACCACTCCCTCACTCGCGTACACCCACCCAAGGCAGCAAATAATAATATCTGCCCTTTTCGAAACTCTAAAATCCGACCCACATTTGAAGAAACACAACACAAAAGATTTGATTTTTTGAAAAGGGGCTCTTGTTTCTCGTTAGTGGGTAGTAAGTAGTAGTGGAGCTCCAACGTTAGAGAATTTTTTGAATTGGTTTATGGGAAATGCTGCTGCTGCAATGGCAATGGTCCGTTTCTTACTCGATTAGGCAGGCTACTGTTCTTGTTTTGTTTCCTTTCTTCTCGAATTTGATGTATGTGGCTATGGGGAAACCATGGACGGATTGGAGTGGATCCATGTGACTAGTGTAGGTAGTAACCCAGATGCCAAATTTGTGCTATTAGCTGGTGAGTGGTCTATTTTTTTCTTCTTCCTGGTGAAGTCAATTTCATTTTGTCTGTTGTTCTTCCCTCCCATCGTCCCCTTCTGGGTTTTTGTCTTTTAACTGAGACTTCATTTCATTTTGAATGGATTAGAGAACAAGCGACTTAATGGGTGATGTTGGCTGTCATTATCTCTCTGTTTTATGTTCTACGAATTAATAATAATATCTTGCAAGTGGGCAGTCTTACTTAACTCATACCCTCAACATGGAAGACAACCAAACCACATTCTCTTGCCTGTTCTTCTATGCCATAGCGAAACGGGGCACTTGGCAGAGTAAGAAAGTAGATGATGAACACATTAACATATTTTAACTCTTTAAAACAATAAGTTCAAAATTACTACTTTATATAGTCGCATCACAAAGGTGCTCTTTTTTAATTAACCAAATTTTGGAAGGGTTTTTTGTCATTAAGGTTCTAATTAATTAACTTATGACAATTGAACCCAAATTCATGGGTATTCGGCATACTTCGGTCCGGTTTAATCGAGTTCAACCAGGTGTTTACGATTTTTGCTTTGCACGCTTAAATAATTGAAGGTTGGAGGAGTTTTTTTTCTTGCCATTAAAGGTTCTTGCACGCTTAAATAATTGATGCTTGAAGGAATTTTTGTGTCATTAAGGTTCTAATTAATTAACTTATGATAATTGAGCCCAAATCAATAAGAATTCAACTTACTTTGATCTGGTTTAAGCACTCGGTGTTTATGAATTTTGGCTCAACAATAAGTTTGCACGCTTAAATCATTGAAACTTGGAGGATTTTTTGTGCCATTAAGGTTCTAATTAATTAAATTTTGGCAATTGAACCCAAATCAATGGGTATTCAACCTACTTCAACCCGGTTAAAGCGAGTTGACCCCGTTGTTGCGAATTTTGGCTTAACATCGAGTTTTGCGCTTGAATCATTGAAGGATGAAGGAGTTTTTGTGCCATTAATGTTATGATTAATTAACTTATGACAATTGAATCCAAATTGAACCCAAATCAATGGGCATTCGACCTACTTTGACCTGGTTAAAGCGAGTTGAACCCGTTGTTGGCCGATTTTGACTCAATAATGAGTTTTGCGTACTTATTTCATTGGGTATTTGAACTAATGTCGAACCTGTAAGATGAGCATGGTTTCTTTGTACCCCGTTAGCTATGATTTTTAATTATTTAAAATTGTTAATAATTAATCTAGGTCTTTTGGTCAACAGTTCTAACTAATTCTTTTTATTCCAATTGAATCCAATTTGAACTCGAATCAATGAGTATTTTATCTAATTGGACCTGGTGTTGGCGGATTTTGGGTCGAGGACGAGTTTTGCATGCTTTTATAATTGACGGGTTGGGTCGATGTGAATTTGTTCAATACTCCCCCCGCTTGGCTTTGCTTTCGTGTTGGCGAATTTTGGTGCGAGGACGAGTTTTGCACGCTCAAATCAGATCACAAGAGTGACGATTTTGGAGCTGGGGGGAACTTTGGGGTTCTTTTTGCCATTTTTGTTGATTTTCATTCTTCCCTCCTCTTCCCAACCACACAAACTTCTACATCTTCTATTTTCTCCTTCTCTTTCATCTCCCTCTGATCTCTTCTCACCGACCTAGCTCCCTGTCATACAAAGAAGAAAGAAAAAAAAATACAGAAACAACCCACCTTCCCTTTCTTATCCTCCTCCTTCCACTTCCACAACGATCAGTGCCGACTATCAGTGTTGCGATGGTGGTTTGTAGGGGCGCTCCAGCGTTACGACAACGGTGAGGTGTTGGGGTTGGTTTAGGAGTGCACCAGGCAACACCGAATAGAGGCGGGCGGCGAGAGCACTACGCCGTTGGGGGATGATGATGGCAGCGATAGAGATGGTAGTGAGGCGTTGTGATGGAAGAAAATGAGGGAAGGAGAAACAGAGGAAGAAGAAGAAGGGAAGAAAGAAGAAAAAGAGGAGGAAGAAGAAGGGTACAAAGAAAAAAGTACCATATCGATCTTGCTTTCCCGACCTCTGTTACCTTCTTCTGCCTCTCATTTTCCATTTCTCTCTCTGCGCTGGTGATTTCAGGTTTATTGGGTGATTCCATCCCTTAATCTACCTTGGTGTTCTTTCTTCTCTTCCTATTCTCTATAATTTCATGGTTCTTCTTTTTATGGACAATTGGTGTACTGAACTAGGGATGGCAATTTCAACCTGACCCGTTTTACCCGACCTGTTTGACCTGTTTTGGAGCGGGTCCGACCCGCCCCATAGGCGGGGCGGGGCGGGCATGGGTACTCTCATAGACCCGACCTGCCCTGACCCGCCCCATTCTCGACCCGTTCTTGCCTAAATTACACGTAATTTTAGTCAAATTGTTTAGGATTTTCCTTTTACTAAATCAAATTTTAGCTATAATAAAGTTGTAAATTAGTGAAAACCTCAATTTTTCCAATAATTTAACTATATTTGTCATAATATTGTTTGTTTCCATAGTCTTATAATAAATATAACGAACATTTCTAATATTTTTCATATAAATTGCTTACCCATTGGGTCGACCTGCCCCGACCTGTGACCCGTGATAAAATACCCGACCTGGACCCGACCTGCCACAGGGCGGGTCTGGGTACCAAGAAACCCGCCCCGGACCTGCCCCATTGCCATTCCTATACTGAACTCATTGTTGCAATCGATGATGAATGAGACCCTGGGTTGCTAAAAAAGAGAGGTTCAGAGAGATTACGAAGAGGAGGTTCAGAGAGATTTCATTGAGAGACTGTTAAAAGAAGAGGGAGATATGTAACTTTGTTATTTGGCTTGGGGTGATTGTTCTCGCTCTTCGTCTGAGAGTTCTGTCACGACCCGAAATGTCGTGACCGTGTTGATAGTCTGAAGAACGCTGTCATCTGGTTGTCTTGCCACGAGAAGGATAAAGGGGGTGACATTAGCGATAAGGCGTTGTCTGCATGTGCATCGCATCTGGCCAAGTTAGGATGTGGCTATGAAGGGGATCGTTGCAAGAGAAGGCACAACTGGTCGGAGGCTATTGCCGTATCTCTGATGAGCCCAAGGCAGGTCGAAACCAGTTGGCATGCGTATGCAGAGAGGCTGGTCTTGAGGAATGAGTGCACCTCAAGACGCTGCACGGACTTCGGAAGTCTATGTCCGTGACAAGTGGTATCAGAGCCTGGTTAGGCTGATGATGCAGCGGCCAAGAACCCCATTCAACCGAGGAACTAACATTAGCGAGAGCGTAGGGTGAAGGTCGATTGAGGTACAAATGCTGGGAGTAGTATAGGGTGAAGGTCGACTAAGGTACTAGCGCAGCAGAAGCAAAGAGTGAAGGTTGATGTCGAGGGGCGAAGCGGTATGTGCGCGAGGCATAGCAGGCTAGCGCGAGGACGCGACCGGAGCCTGTCAATTGGTTTGAGTGTTGCAATACATGCTGCGGAGAGAAGCATTCTTCACTAGCACGAGGACGTGCTGCATTATGAGTGGTGGTGAATGTCACTACCCGAAATGTCGTGACCGTGTTGATCGTCTGAAAAATGCTGCCATCTGGTCGTCTTGCCACGACAAGGGTAAAGGGGGCGACATTAGCGATAAGGCGTTGTCTGCCTAAGCATCGTTTATGGCCGAGTCAGGATGTGGCTATGAAGGGGATCGTTGCAAGAGAAGGCACAATTGGTCGGAGGCTATTTCCGTCTCCCTGATGATCCCAAGGCAGGGCGAAACCAATTGGCATGCGTATGCAGAGAGGCTGGTCTTGAGGAATTAGTGCATCTCAAGACGTCGCACGGACTTCAGAAGTCTATGTCCGTGACAGTTCACACAGAACCCAATAGGATATGGGGATTCCTCATATGGGAACCAACTGTTGGGTATATGACTCGGATCTCGCCGCGCCAAGAAAGCACCCCGTCACCACCGCCAGAAGAGTTGGGCGCGTTAGCACCAACGCGACCAAGGAAGCACCCCAGCGCTGCCGCCAGAAGAGTCGGGCACGTTAGCACCGACGCGACCAAAGCCACACCCCGAACACCAAACGACGACGTTTGAGTCTAGCGTTGACCAAATCAACAAACCATGGAAACGACGCCGCGTTCCCCAATGAGTGGTCACCATCATAGTCCTAGGTATAATAATAGACTAAATGTACTTGTCCTAGGTAGAGGTATG